GTAGTCCTTGGCTAGGTAGCCACTTCCCACCAATACCTCTACACTATGGAAGGTGAGCAAGAATCTCAATGGTCTGCTAGCTGTCTTTACCACAATAGGAAACTTACTTTTAAAAAACTGATTATAATGGATCTCATTTTTGGAGGTCACGGGCTGTGGCTTCAGAGGCAACCTAGAGATAAATGTATAAATTCAATTTAATGGCTACAAGGTAGATCAATTGAATGCATGGTTCTGTGATCATCTCCTTTTAAGAGTTCATCCACTTAAAAAAAAATTCTGATCTATCATCTAGACTCATTTCCTACATTCAAAGCAGCCTTAGAGGTAGATGGAAACTTCGAGATCAAAAATTATAAGTGGCCCCAGGAGAAGACCTCTCACTGTTAGAATTGTTTAAATCCTCTCCTGAACAGTAGGCCCCCATCTTTACCAAACTACTAGCTCTGATTTACTTTCAGACAAAATCAAAGTTCTTGCATATCCTCAGTAGAGAATCAAAGTGCTGTGTAATAATCCAACCCATTTCCCAAAGAAAGGGAAATTGTCTCTCATCTCCAAAGTGCAATGTTTCTTCAAAACTCTTTGCCGTCTTTCTTTTCAACAAACTGTGGGACCAGATTTCTCAGCCTACTGGCTTGTGTGAGGGGCAAGCTGGCTTTTGGCAACATTTCATCTTTACTGACCATGGCAATATTACGTTTTAGTTCTCTACAAAATGCTTAGGGATAAATATGATTGTTTACAACATTTAGCTATTCTACCATGTTTTGATATGAAAGGAACTATATATAAGCCAAGCTATACGATACTTTTTATAGATCCCAATTTAACGGTAGTGCTAGGATACCAGCTTTGAAGGACTGCTATCCTTAAAAATTAAAGTCTCTTTCCAAGCCACATAAATCTGTCTGTAGTTGTCTTGCTTTTTTCCCCTGTTTTTTATCAAAATAACTTGAGATTGTAAAGCAGTGTTGTTGTGTTTTTCAGGCTACTTATCCTAGGACATACGGCAGGTAAAGAAGGGTTCTACTGTCATATGAGTTTGGGAAATGCTACATAATTGATATTTCTTTTAGAGATAGATAATGTTCAATAGCAAATTGAAGACTCTGAACGAAGCATCTTGCAGTATAGTAATTGTTAACCTCCACTAGGCACTACCCAAATGAGTATCATTTTTTTTTAATTTATCAAGAACTTGGTATGAACTCCTGAGTGGTGCAAACCGTTAACACGCTCGGCTGCTAACTGAATGATTAGAGGTTCAAAGAAGGGCCAAGTGATCTACGTCCAAAAATCAGCCACTGGAAACCCTATGGGGCACAGTTCTACTCTGACAACGTGAGGTCTCCATCAGTCAGAATAAACTCAAAAGCAACTAGTGTTTTGGAGTTTTTTAGTATGAACCAGGCACTGTGCTAAGTGCTTTACGTGCATTAATTCACTTAGTTCTCACAGAAACCTGTGAGAAAGATACTCTTATTATATCCATTCTATAGATTAGGAACTGAGACCGAAAGAAGTCAAGTAACTTGCCCAAGGTCAAACAGTAATTAGGAGATCTAAGCTTTTAAATCAGGTCTGTCTGATGCCAGAGTCAGATCTCATGACCATTGAGCCCCTTCTTTTTAAAAATAACACCTATTAATGTACTGTGGGTTTTAGAGGAATTAGTTACATGTCAAAAGTAAGCATCTTCCACTATACTAATGGCTCTACTGTTTGGGTAGGAACAGCTAACCGTGTGGACCAATTGTGGAGAGGGAAGAAAAGAAGAAAAAAGAGAGAGAGAGGAAAAGAATGAGGAGGAGAAAGAAGGGGCAAAAGGGGAAAGGAATGGGAAACACCTTAACTATCTATGGGGAAAAATGATAATCACTGTATTTGGTAGATGGTCTCCCAGGTTTTTACTGATCATATTAAATAATCTGACCTTTGAGGTCCATGAGACCTGGATTCTATGCCCCTGCCCCTAATCTGCTTTACAACATTTATATTATAGTTTAGGTCATTTGATCTCCCCAATTCTCAGTTTTCTCATCTGTAAAACGGGGAAAAATAAGCCCAAGCTTGTCTGTTCTATTTGCTTAGTATAAGGATAAAAAGAGTTAAATGTTATGAAAATGCTTTGGAGATAGATAGATGGATAAAGAAAGAGAGAGAGAGAGATAAAAGCTTGCGTCATAGTAAACCATAATAGTGGTTTAAAACCATTTGTCAGATAGAGAGCTCCTTAAAGGAACTCTTAAGGGGAATCCCAATATGTGAAATTGTCCCTGTCCCCCTCCCCTCCACCTCCCATGAAAGCGATGAAGGGCTTCTGCAGACCCCCTAGGTTTCCATGGAACACTGGCCTGGTAAGGTGAGCACCAGGTTGAGAGATGAGACTGCATTCTGCTAAGTAAGTGGTCTTGAGCAAATCCCTTGATTTTCGAGACTGTTTCCCTCTCTGTAAAAGGAGAAGTTTGGATGAAATAATCCGTCAGGCCTCTTCCAGCTCTGACATTCTGGAAGTCTAGTTTCTTGTTTTTGTATAATTAGAGAGGAGTGTCTCCTTCCAGGTTGACTAAAAGTATCCTACACAGACAGCGTTATCCACATGCCTGCATTGAGGGTAAATCCTAACCCAACAGCCAGAGAGACAAGCTCCCTGCCTCAGGCCTTTGAATAGTCTCAGCACCAGTATGTCCACTGACTCCAGGCTTGGTCTGACTCATTCTCTCCATGAATGTTTCCTGAGCATCTTTTCTGTGAAAGGATGTGCTGGACTAAGACAGGGATCCTAGAATGAGTAGGCCATGGGCCTTGTCCAGGAGGAGCCCACAGTCTTATGAAGTGATAGAGACAGACGTGCAAACAGCTAGACCACAGGGCTCTCATGGGACTAGACTCATGTTGGCTGGCGGCACACCAGAGTGCAGAGGTCCTGAAGTTGGCCTTCCTGGGCTTAGATCCTTGCTCCATGCTTCCCTGTGGCCTTGGGAAAGTTTCTTAACTTCTCCACTTCTCGGTTTCTTCATATATAAAATGGGAATGATAATGAACTACCACTTCATAGGTTTTTGTGAGGATAAAGAAGTTAAAACATGGAAAGCACATGGAAGAGCACCTGGAACACCATAAACCAAACCAAAAAACCCATCGTCGTCGAGTCAATTCTGACTCATAGTGACCCTATAGGACTGAGTAGAAAGGCCCTGTAGGGTTTCCAAGGAGCAGCTGGTGGATTCGAACCGCCAACCTTCTGGTTAGCAGCCAAGCTCTTAACCACTGCGCCACCAGTGTTCCATGGAATACCCACCATAGCATTCAATAAATGTTAACTAATATGATTCCCAGCCCAAGGCCTAGTTCTTCACAAAAACAGCACAATGTTAAAGCAGCCTCTGGAGACAGATGCCAGGATCCCACGCCAAGCTTAACCCCCTCAAGCTGCATCACCTTGAGCGAGTTAACAAACTTCCCTATGTCAAATTAAATGACACAAAAACTATAAAACAGCCCAGGGCCTCTGACATGTTACTAAGTGCTGTCCAGTTCATTCCGACTCACAGCAACCCCACGCAAAACAGAATGAAACACTGCTTGGTCCGACACCATTCTCATAATCGTTGCTGTGTGTGAGCCCTTTGCATCTGACATAGCAAGAACATAATGAATGTTAGCAATTAATGTTGTTGTTGTTGTTAATGGCTGTGAGAGCACAGAAAGAACTATTTATTTCCAACGGAAATAAAGGTGACATTTGAGCTGAGTATCGGGTATGTGCCTTGGTTACTGGGAGTCTGGGCTGAGTTCTGGCCACTAGTAGATTTGATCCTCTCTCTGCACATGCAGTTCCCGTTCTCCTTCCTTTTTCCCCTTTACATCTACAGCCAGCAGAATGATCACAAAACAAAACTGTCTAAAGATATATATGAATATATGTGTGTATGTATGTATATACGTATATATATGTGTGTTATATATGTGTGTGTATACATATATACATACATATATACACACATATATAACAGATATGTTTATATAGAATATGTGTGTGCGTGTGTGTATAACCTTACTTTTTTTTTTTTTTTTGCTCTGCCATTCTGCTATTCCCAAACCTTCCATAACTCCCTATTGCCTTCGGGATAAAGTCTACACCACTTAGCCTGGCTCACTTACAGCGGCCACTTGTATGTGTGTTTTATCTTCCCAAGTAGACCAGAGGTACCATATTCTCACAAGCAAGGACTATCTCTTAGCCTTCTTTGTATCTCTCTCAATCCCACCCCACAATACCACCCAGGTTCTAGTTTAGAGCCTTGCATACAATAGAGATTCAATAATATTTGCTGAAAGATCTTAGAAAATGAATAAGGTTTAAGTGACCGACTGATTTGTATTTAAATATTGTTGTCAACCAGTATTTTTTAGGTACCACTATATGCTCAGTATTATATTAGTTTACACTCGGAAATCAGAGAAATAAATAAAGGCTAGAATAACCATCATCTAGGAATTTAAATCTAGATGGAAAATAAGGGTAACCTAAAAAGAAAATGAAAGCAATGTAATGTTTAAATCATATGGTTCCAAGTACAGCTCAGAATAAGCTCAGGGAAGAGAAGCGTTAATAGGTATGGGGAAAAGAAAGGTTTGACTTCAGTAACAACTGTAGGGAATTAAATGCTCACGGCCCTGGATCACATTGTACCAAAACTGGGCATGTAAACAGTTACACTCTCACCCCTCAGAGGGCAGCTCCCAGGTTTAGCTCATCAGATGAGGATTTCACCGGGGCACGGGGAGACCTGATGAGCATCTTGCTTCGTGTTTTGTTTGTTTGGTTGGTTTTTATAATATTTTACTATGTTTTAGGTGGAATTTTACACAGTAAATTAGGTTCCCTTTTAAGAATTTCTCTACATATTGTTCATGGTGTGATGCTGAGCTCCTCCCTTGCTTATCTCGGCCTTACATCTCATCTTATATCTCTGCCTTCCTCTCATTAACAGATTGGTTACTGGAACGAAGATGATAAGTTTGTCCCTGCAGCCACCGATGCTCAAGCCGGAGGGGATAATTCAAGTGTTCAGAATAGAACGTACATCGTCACTACAATCCTAGTGAGTACTCAGTCCTTCATCAAGGGTACCTGGGATTCAAGCTAGACTAGCACAAGGGTTTTCCACCAGGAGCGAAAGCTGGTTGTTGTTCTTGCCAAAACTGTGTCGTAGGCAGAAAGAGGGAGTGGGAAAACGGAATGCCTGAGAAATCAGTCGCCAAGTTTTCACCCTGACTCTGCCACTGTCTCGCTTTGTGCTCTTGTATAAGGCACCCTCTTTTGAGCCATAGCTTCTCCATATATAGAAGGAGTCTAAATTGTACGGTTGCATGTCTGGATTTTCTGGGGTCTACCACATGGACAGGAGCCCTGGTGGCACAGTGGTTAAGCACTCGGCTGCTAAGTGAAACGTCAGCGGTTTGAACCCACCAGATGCTTCCTTAAAGATTACAACCTTGGAAACCCTATGGGACAGTTCTTCTCTGTCCTGTAGGGTCGCTATGGGTCGGAATCGACTCCATGGCGTCGGGTTTGGTTTTTTTTTTTTTTTTTCGGTTTTTTTCCCCATTATACTGCCCCCAGTGGTACTACCATCAAGTACAAGAGCTCCTGGAACAAAATTCGAAAAGCTTTGAACCATGAGACATTTTTATTTTAACAAAGTTTGCTTCCTTAACCCAAAAAGTTTGTCACTGGGGGGCGGGGATGGGTAGGAGGGAGACATAAAGTCAGCAAATAGATTTAGGGGCTAAAGAGTCTTCTTCAATGTTAATATTGGTGACATCCTCCTCTCCTATGCCAAAGTCTTCCCTTCTCAGGGGACCCCGTAACCCACGTTCTCCATCTCCCCTTTTCTCTACCAGGAAGACCCTTATGTGATGCTGAAGAAGAACGCCAACCAGTTTGAGGGCAACGACCGCTATGAGGGCTACTGTGTGGAGCTGGCAGCGGAGATTGCCAAGCACGTGGGCTACTCCTACCGTCTTGAGATCGTCAGCGATGGAAAATATGGAGCCCGAGACCCTGACACCAAGGCTTGGAACGGCATGGTGGGAGAGCTGGTCTATGGAGTAAGTTCACTATAGGGTGGGAGAATTGGAGGACAGAGGTAGAGGGGTGGACAGGAAATCACTTGGTGGTTGGATAAGGCACCTTAATAAAGATGCCTATTAAACAACCTAATTGAGTATCATTGCTTATGAAAAAAGTAGGAGCCCCAAATCAAATGTCTTAAGGCACTCTTTGTTTAGGTTCCTGGTCCCAGCTCCCTCAGTCCCACTCTCTCAGTCTTGTGATTTCAGTTGATCATCATCCATGCAGGTAGCTGTATAACCTTCCAGATAAGTTTTCCTGTGGCACAGTGCTGAGTTGTCACTTCACTGCTCAAAAAAGTTGTTTATTGGTTCCCTCATAAATTTCTCCCCCATTTTTAGATGCATCTGGCATCCAACCTCACTTTCTAGTCTCTTTTCTCAGTACTCCTTCTCATGCACCTTCCATTTCAGACAAACTGGTCCTTATTCATTTTGTTTCTTAGAGAGTCCCCTTTTATTCTTCACTTTAAATCTTACCCCTCCTCCAAAACCTGTATCAAATGTTACCTTTTCCAAGATGTCATTTCTTTCTCCCCATAACAGATGTGAACTCCCATTTTTAACCATTCTCACCTTCTCCTGAAGAAATTTGTTTCTTTTATGGTCCCCAGCATACCCTGCCTTGTATAATGGTTATCTGTGCTATAGGGGGAAGTCTACTTCATCTTTATATCACTCACCACACTTAAACCAATGCTAACTGCAGTAAAATGTTCAACAGATAGAAGCCGTGTAGAGATGCCTCTGAATGCCTAGCATCATTTTAAGTGCTTAGAGAATCATCAAGAAACAAAAGATCTTATCCCTACCCCTAAAGATCTTCACATTTTGTGGGGTAATGAAGGCAGTGATACAATGAGAGAGAATTAAAAAACAAAGCATAGAACCAAGAAGTCTAAATTGTATGGTTCAGGCAAGAGACTAACTGTGAGTTCATCTAACCATCAAGAAGGATGTGAAACTTGAAAAATAAAAAATGGTGAAATTCAAATAAAAAGAGAGAAAGAAGCCCAGGAATGCTTCAAGACTAAATAAAATAGTGGTGGAATAAGTAAGATGTGAGAGGAGAGTGAGAAACTTGAATTTTCTAGAAGTCTTGGGTTGAGGAATAGTCAGGGGTGAGTTTGAGTAAGAAATGACAAGGGGAAGAGTGTGGATTGATTCAATGAGTAGTGGAAGGTCATGACAAAAGGCAATGGAAGCAGAAGCAGGCCACCACAAGCAGGAAGGGGAGCACCATGGCTTCACTCACAGCACGTGGGTCTTCAAGCTGAAGCGTATGCTGAGGCCCAGGGTGATGTTGAGTTCAGGGTCAGCATGAAGTCACTCTTTAGAAAAGTTTTAAGTCTCATTCTCTCATATCCGGACAAGAGGAGTTGTGATGGCTGTGAGAGTCATACAAAGGACTGTGGGAATTCAAGAAGAAAGAGATGGAATAAAGAAAAGCTTCCCCAGGGATGTGGCTTTTGAGATGACCTAGAAAGGTGGTTAATGAGTTGAGGGCGGGAGGTGCTTCTACCCTTTCTCCTCCCCTCTACTGCTTCTCACTTTGGGAGCCTCCACGGATGACAGATAGTGACTTGGATGGTTAATGCTGCATCTGGAGGCTGGTTTCCATGGGAACCTGGGCTAGGCTCTTAAGGTCATCCCCATGGCAACTGCTGTGAACTTTTCCCCTCCTACAGCATTCATCTTCACCTCCACCCCATATAATGCAGTTCCCTTAGTACAAGATCTGTCATCCTGGCAGAACAATGGTATGATCATCCTGAGGACAAGACTCCTAATAGTCAGCAGTCAATGGTGGCTCAGGACTTGGCCGGATGCCTCAGCTGCCAGCTCTGCCCACCATCCCCTTCTCTCCATCAGGCATGTTCCTCTGCCCAGTAAAAACTATATTCTGAAGACCCCATGATGGGCCCATCGGGATGACTCTCACTTGATTTTTAGTTTGTCTTCCCTTCCCTG